CCAAAGAATGAATGTCTACTAGAACAAGCCTACAATACAAAACAAACATCAGCTGAACATAAAAAACATAATTGCTGAACAGTCAACTCAAGGCAAAAATGTTCATTGTAGCAGTAAAATGTGAACATCACTGTCAACCTTTGCAAATTTGATTATCCTCATCAAGTATCAACTCTGAATACCTTCTGAATCTGGCACAAATACAACATTATGCTCATAATCAAACATATTGCTTTGAGATAAGTAAGTATGATCAGCTATATGTACATTCTCTCCTGTTCTAACTATATACCAAACAAAATCTTTATTTAGTGGCTGTATTGTTTAGCAAACATGTGCAGAGATGAAAAAGTGACTTTACAACCAATCCTTGCACATATGAGCTTCATAGGTCTGTAAAGCAGAAGTAGTAAGATTATAAGCACACTAATGGATTCAATTAGCAACCACTTCACTTAATGACCAAGTTGTTAGTCCCAACTGTGTTCGCTAAATGAGGATTAGCTTCACTCAATCTACTCTGCAGCATGTAGGATAAACTGAAAATAATTTAAAAGTCTGCCTAAATGGAATCCTAAGACAGCACAAATTAAAACTGTCATATTTTCCATTCCGTAATCTATATGCATGTATGTAATGGGCAGAATTTTATAAGTCTAGTTTATAGAGACCAATATTGTCAATAGTACCTATAAAGTTACTTTCCCTAACAAGGGAAAGGAGATGGGGGGAAATCCTTTAAAATTAAAACATAACCTTTGCTGTATAGCTTATAATTTCTTAGAAGATGCTACTGGTTCAAAAATGCTTTCTCGGCTAGTCAAAAATTAAATTTTGCTGTCCGCCCCACCCATTTACATGTTAAAGTGTGATTTCTTTTGGGGAAAGAAAACCAGATCTCACGTTTATAGGCCACAATAAATTTTGCAAACATACTAAAAAGACAGACAGTCAAATCCACTTGTGAGCTGACCTAGCAAACACTAATTTGGTATTATTCACTCCTCAGCTAAGCCAGCCTCAAGGCATGCCACGACATGAAAACTGTTCTTATATAAAAGCAGTAGAGATCTCTATACAAGCCCTCTTTATGTTTGAAAGAAAGCTGAAATTACTTAACAAGGCAACTTTCCTGATTCTGTAGGGAAAGACAAATAATTATAGTTTAACAGATCTGGAAGACTATGGTAAAGGTTTGCATAGAGTATAAATGGATGGTGAGACAGTGATCCTCCAAATGCAGATATTCCCAGCATCCTGGCCCTAAAATGGTCAATGATAAGCTATAATGGCAAGTGCTATAACTAATATTGAAAGAGTTCATTTATAATGCCGCTTAACTGAAAAAACATTGGAAGTGGAACACTATAACGTTTTCAATTTTTCCAGATGGAAAGGTAATTATAACTCTAGGTGGTTTATAAGGCTTAAAACAAACAATATCACAGTAAGAAAACAAAATGCACCTGGAAACAGGTGTTTTGTAATCTGTGTTTCCTAGTGCCAAGAGTATCAGGACAAGTGCATTGTTGTGCAGTAAAAACAATAACAGTGTCTTCTCATTTAGAATCCCCTTGTGCTATAGTAATTCCAAATATTGATAGTGATTTTGCTGGTTTATCAATATCATATAAGGTTCAGCTTCATCTTTGGAAGAAAAATGCAAGGGTAGAATATACATTTATACCGAATTGTATAACTGAATCATTCAAACCTTGCCTTATTAATAAATAAAAAAACGAGATGGCTCCATGATGCCACAGCCAGCCAATAATTTACATCCAGTTGGTTTGAACTACTACATGAAGGGGATGAAACACCCACCCTTGTGCAATCCATACGCCTTGGGTTGTATTTCCCAAGAAAGCCAAAGTCTATACTGGCTAGTTATTTGGAGTACCACAGTCCCAAATATACACAGAAGGCACCAGATTGGGGAAAACTCAGTGTTGAGCTGAATCTTTAAGAAAAAAAAGTAAACGTTCTGAGCAAAACACACCAAGGGTCCTTCTGTGGGAAGTATTAGGACATATAGCATTACTGATTGCTGGTATGTCTGTAACATATAAAATATTAAGTGCAATCTATCGATCCCTAAACAGGCTGGGGTTGCTAGAATTAAATCTGCCTGCTCTCTGGTGAAATTTCCTGGTCACAAAGACCCTGGCTGAGTTGACACATTGTGCAAACTGTTTGTTTGGTTTGGGCTTAGTATGCTTATGGAATTAAAGAGCTGGAAAGGTCCAAAGGCTGTTGAGTCTGACCTTTTACTCAGGGCAAAACATCCCAAACCGAAAGCATCTGCTCCACTCCTTCATCCAAATGATTAATACCTGCCACCATTTTATTTATTTACAATTCGTTCTGGATTGCAAATAAAAGGACATCCCCCCTCCCCCCCCAAAAAAGATTATGAATTTGAGTCTGATGAAAAAACACTGGTTAGAGTACAAGAGTACTACCAGAAAATACTGATTAGAATACTATTTTTGAGCCCCTCATATACCCACTTAATAATCCTGCCATCATCTCACTCTTAACTATCTTGCTAATTAGTACGTCATGAAATGTTTTGTCACATGTTTGGGGTCAAGGTATATTGTACTGACAACTTTCTCACAATTTATTAAGAATGCTGTCCAATCAAAAATTGCCTTTGTGGGGTAGGTTTTATTAATTAAACAAATTTATAAAGCTGACCAACTCACATATGGTGACTCCAAATGGCTTACAACTTTAAAAAAAACCCACAGTCTAAAACCCTTAAATGAAAAGGACTAATATTTAACAGCAGTGTTTCAATATCTCAGGGGCTGCCACAAAGAAGAGGGAGTCAAGCTATTCTCCAAAGCCCGTGAAGGCCGGACAAGAAGCAATGGATGAAAACTAATCAAGGAGAGAAGCAACCTTCCTAACAGCGAAGACAATTAACCAGTGCAACAGCTTGCCTTCAGAAATCGTGGGTGCTCCATCACTGGAGGTTTTTAAGAAGAGACTGGACAGTTGCTTGTCTGAGATGGTATACATGTCAGTCTATTTGCAATGTCAAGTCTTCAGGGCTGTTCTGGGAGTTATAAATTTTGTCTTATTGAAAAGAGGCAATTGAGAAATGAAGCTCCTTCTCACAATCTCAGAATTTGAATTTCACTTGAGAAATAGTCCTTATAAAAGAAGGAGAAGGTTTTTGATGGGGGGGGGTGTTTGGTCTGGGTTCCTATGTTTCATCTTACCCTGTAAAATTATTGCTCAGACATAGGAGTAGAACTAATTATATTTTAACTCTGTCTGTTAGAACTTCCCCAAACAAGAACTCCATCAGAGTACCTGGCTAGCAGAACTGCACAAAAATATACCTATCGCAAAACCACTCTGCAAAGTGAAAATTTTACACACATACATTCTCTTTCGGATTATTTCTCCGTCAGTCTTATATCACTGCAGAAAAAGTCTACCTTTGCAGGAAAAATGTGTCCTAAATAGCTGAGAACAATGCACTGGATCACAATTAAATCCTTTTTTTAAAAAAAAAAAACCCTTCCCTTGCATTCTATATCCAACAGGGGCTATTACCAAATACTTCTAGGAGACTTGCAAGCAGAGCTCAAACGATATCATTGTCTGCTTGTTCCAGCACTTGATATTCAAAAGGAAATTGCCTCCTTAAAATACAATTCCCTACCTACTAGCCTTATAAGCAAGACTTGTTAGTTTGATTCTTAAGAGACAGACAGATTTGGGGTCCAATCGAAACTTCATTTACCCTGGAATAAACTGCATCACAATACTGCCTTGTATCTCCAGATGTGTAAGATTTGGAATGGGTTAGGGTTAGAACGTCATCTACAAACATCCTAAAGGTTTTTCCCAGATTGCTTCATGTCTTCCAAGCTGGCTACAAATCCTGGGATGGATTCCTTTGTAAATGCTGGATGCATTCAAATATTGGTTAAGAGCATGGAATGGAACCACTGGAGCAATAAGCTCCATACTAAAGGGTTAATTTACACGTCATTTTCAACAACAGCAGAAACATCCTGTCCGGTCATAGTGCCCCGCAGTTTTGTTTAATTTGAGAAAAGCTTCTTCCATCCCTTCCTCCAGAGATATCCCTTTGCTAGCCTTATACAGGTCCTGCCTGCCAGCCTCCAGGCCGATCAGCCATTTTCCCCTTTCTTAACTGGGTGCCTTGCAAAAAGAGTCAGACAAAAAAGTCTTCACCTTCTCTTCAAATAGATCAGTTCCAGGCAAAGTCTATACATCGCTCCCCCTTTTCATGCTCTCTTTTGGAGATAATTACATTAGCCATTGGGAATCTATAGACAGGAGAGGAGGAGCAGCTCCCCCAGACTACTTTTTAAGGACACACAAAACCATGCGTCTTGTGGCGAAAGCTGACCCCGATAATCTCCAAGAACAGAGAATGGTTCTGTTAAAAATAACAGCTCAGAGAGCGCCAAGGACCCCTCATTCCAATCCTGCGCTACAAATATTCTCCTTTATGGGTGCAGATAATAGTCCCTAAAGGAACTCCAAAAGCGCTCGCTGCTTTAGCTGGAAAAATGACATGCAGTACAGAACTTCTCCCCGCCCTCGAAAATAATTCCGCCTCCTTTAAAGAATTTCAAGCCGCCTCTGAAATGGGATACTGAGCCACAGACAACGATGCGGTCGTGCTAACTATTATGTATACAACCAGAGGGTCCCCAACACAGCAGGTTGTGGCTTTTTGACAGATTCGCCCGCTTATAGTCGGTATGTTTACCATATTAACAACCCACGTCTTTTGGCGTTCTTGCTCCGTCCCTTGCATCAAGCCTCTCCCGATTCTTTTGTCAGCCTGACACTTCAAGCATCAACGCAAGTTGCGCATTCCTAAAAGACAGCCCTGTCCTTCCCACCCTGCCGGCAATACTGACCCAGCCACCCCTCTCTTCTGCCAAAGAGCCACCGATTCATTCATTCATTCATGGAAATGCAGCCACCCGCCGCCACCTCCTCACCTCGATCAGAGACGCCCCGCCGGCAGCCACGCGCTCCCCATTCCCGAGTCCGGGACAGCAACCCGGCCCTCCCTCCGAGAGCTCTACGAGTCCGAGGAGACAGAGGGGCTCCATGAAGGCGACACAGCGCCTCCTGGTGGCGCTCCGCCACGGCGACTGCCGCGGAGTTCAAGGAGCGCCGGAGCCTTCTGCAACTTGGCGCCCTCCCAATGTTTTGGATTTCAACTCTTAATTTAAAAAATACTTCTGGAAATCCAGTTTGGTGTAGTGATTAAGGCAAGAGACTGTGAGTTCTAGTCCTGCCTTAGGCACAGAGTCAGACTGGTGAAACTTGGGCCAGTCCTTCTCTCACAGCGGTAGGAATCAAAGTGGTTTAAAAAAAAAACAAACCTTGTTAAGAAGGCTGCAGAGACTGGTTCAGGTAGTCACTAGAAGCCAACACTGACTCAACAGCACAAACAAACATGTTACAGGTAGTCCTCAACCTACGGCCACAACTGAGTCTAATATTTCTGTTGCTAAGTGAGACATTTGTTAAGTGAGTTTTACTCCATTTTACGAGCTTTCTTGTCACAGTCGTTAAGTGAATCACTGCAGCTGTTAAGTTATTAACAAGGTTAAATGAATCTGGCTACCCCATTGTCAGAAGGTTGAAAAAGGTGATCACCTGACCCTTGGGCACTGCAACCATCATAAATATGAGTCAGTTGCCAAGCATCTGAATTTTGATCATTTGACCATGGGAACACTGCAATGGTCATAAGTGTGAAAAATGGTCACTTTTTTCAATGCCCTTGTAACTTTGAACAGTCACTTACTGAACTGTTGTAAGTTGAGGGCTACCTGTATTGATCTAGTATGGCTGCATTGGGAAGGCACACCAAGTTGGGAAAAGATGGAATACTATTTCATAGTATATTTAAAATAAGCTCCCTTATAACTTTGAAGTAACCAAGATGGAAAGGTTGTTTATTTTTCTTGGTATATAGGGTGTCCTGAAAAGATGGATATAATTGGTTTGGATTCTAAAGGGAGCCCTTCCATGATCCCATCTGAAAGAGAAACAGCATTCACTTAAATGGGAATTAACAAATAGAATTCACTCTATATTAACTATAACCTCTTCATGATTCTCCATCCACCCTCCATTTTTCATGCTCCTCCAAATCACTCTTTTTATGGCACCAAATATTCATTCAATGCTAGGCTTTTTAATATCCAGAAAACAGGGTCATCTTATGGGACTTGGGAAGTACACCTTCTCAGTTGTAGCACCTGCCCTCTGGAATGATATCCTTGCCCAACCCTCACCCCAAGATTTGTGTGGCTCCCAACTTTATAACATTATGGACATTAATAATTAATAAAAACATTATGGTTCTCTCAGGTCTTGGGATAGAACAGTTGTGGATCATCTTTTAGTTCAGCTTAATTTTGTTCTTTTAGTTGGTCATGTTCTTTTTATATGTATTATTTCTTTTATTTTTAAGTCACCAGAGTCTCAAAATTGGAATAAATGAAATATTCCCCAGACAAAAACCCCAAACTTACCTTGAAAACAGCAATTCATCTGTATTGGCAGCCTATTCTGTTGCCCATTTTGATAAGATTATTAGGCACATTTGTCCTTTCCTCATACAAATATGTAATATTTAATTTATAACTTCAATTGTTAATAATCATGCAACAATCATAGTATACCGAAATGTTCAGTGGAAGTTTTGCAGTTATAGAAAAGTAGTTACAATTTAATAAAATTAGAATAATCAATTAAAATTAAATGACTAATTTTAAGCTCTTGTTCTTTTCTCTAAGATAAGTAAAATAAAATACTCTTCAGATCTGGCTCAGCTCCTGATGACTTCAGAGAAATGTCTGTAGCTTTCTTGGCATCAGTACAGAAGCATTTTACTTTATTCTGGAATGATTTTCCAGAGTCTGCTCTGATGTTTTCTATCCCCACTCAAAACACTAATCCAAACCTTCTCCCTGTCTATAAACCCCACAAAGTCAGTCAAGCACTGTGATCTATTGAGGACTTCTCAAAAAAAGGATGGGGGAGTTACTCATCTAATGATGATGCATGCATTGATTAATTTGTGCCTCATATTTCTCCATATAATTAAGACAATGTAGGTTAACTTCCAGTTTCTCAATTACAGACCAGATTAAACTTTAGAAAATTTGCTTTGTTATATTCTACACATTATTACCACCAACCAGTGAATTACCAGAAGCATAGTACCAAAAAGGCATGTCCCAATATCTAACTCTGGGTCAGAAGGGCCAAGAGACAGGAGCTATTAAATACAAAGAAACATGGATCACCATACCTAAGAGAAAATTTCAAAAGACGTGAACATTTTTTCTAATATTCTTGTTCTATTAGTATCTTGTAAAGTCAAAACACATTAAGCCCAATTTTCTACCAGATCACAATTTACCAGAGACTCCTGTTCCAAAAGTATTTTTCTACAAGCAACTCACAGGCTTATTACAGCAACTGAACTAAGCTAAATTCTATAGTAGAAACAGATCAACCAAGCAAGGCTAATAACTATGGCCCACTTGCTACCAGAATACAAGTACCATTTCATTTTAGGCTCGTATTTGTTTTCAACCCAAATAACTATTAATACATACCCAATTCACAGTTCTCTGGGCAATATTTTAGAGCCATTATACCAAAAGGACATTAGCTCTTGAAGGACAACTCTGACAATCCCACAGTAATCCACTATATATATAAATATCCACACTTGGTAATGATTTTTTAGGGTTGGCTTTCTCAGCAATGTGCAAGTTCATTAGAATAATTTCAAAGGAACCAATTAGACCTTAGCATTTGCTTTTTTTTTTAAAGATATAGCACCATAACTGCTAGCATGGACAAGTAATCCTGAAAATAATGATACAGATGACTCACAATTAATGGAGAATTAATTAGGCACATGCAACCTTGATCTTAAATCTTTTCATTGATTAAGGGTTCTGGCCTAGGGCACGATAGGATTATTCTGAGCAAATTAGAGATATGAAAGTTTAAACTGTCATTTGTGAAAATTAAATTACAGTAGCTTTTCAAAGTATCATGCATAATATATCATGAACTCTGCCCTACACTAGGTATGTTTGAGGATGGAATTTATTTTTTTCCCAGCGTGTTATCAAAGCATGGCACCCTGGCATACTTTCCACAATTGGCGTATTTTCCATTGTCACAACATTTTCCATTCCATTGTTGTGCAGCCCAGATTAGCACCTGAAACCAATCGATATAATAGAATATATATGACAAATCAGTACTGATTTGAATAATCCATGAAGATTAGATTTATTAGCCAGTTGACCTGAACATTCTGAAATTTTTCTTGGTTTCCATGTGTTAATTCACGATAATAAAAAAGGTGCTGAGTATACAATACCA